GCACCGCGGGATACTCATCATCGCAACATGCCGCCGCCACTGGATCTTCGAGCGACCCCCCCACACATCCCACAACCAAACGCTGGTAAATCCACCACCCAAGGAATATAATAAAAGACAAAGCAAAGTGTCGATGAGAGCACCTCACCGTGCAAGTGCCAGCTCTGCAGCACCTCGAATGTCATGTGGGTGCTCCAGAGACATAGGAGTCTTCTGAGCGAAACCTTTCGCTTTATGACACATATGAAAAGCCAATGCAACTGCTCCAAGGCAGTCCTCACGCGTGAGTTCCGATCCCGCCCGCCCGTTGTCAGACGCCGCCCCCAGTCCCTGCAGTGCAATAGGCGAGCCTGGAAAGTGGCCCCTTCGCCATGCAGGGTGCATTGCGAGATGGTGATACATTCTCGAGCAGTGCAGATCGTGAGCAATCTCATCAGGCTCTGCGCAGCCCCAGATGCAGTTCGTGGGGGCGTTGCCTATGTGCAGTCTATGCGTGGTTGTCCACGCTCCGCAGAGGGTCTTGATGATACTCAATTGCCAGGCAGGCTTGAGACTCGCGATGCAGGTCCGACAAAGACCCCACCGTCCGACCACCGACCTCCGCCCCCCACGAATCGGAACCTGCCACGCGAGAAGCCTTTTGCCCAACGTCTCAGGAGAAGGGTCAGGGAAAGCGGCAGATCGAAACGTGCGTGCAAATGTGCGCTCTGGATGCGGGCGACGGGCTTCCTGGAGGCTAATTTAGCGCGATCACGCGCAGCGCGAAACGCTGCATGCCATCCAGGCTTGTCAGGGAAGAAGGGGGGCGGAAGCCTCGCCCGCTCCACGAATTGAGCGATTTAGAAGGGACGCTTCCAGCAGGGCGCTGAGCATCCCCCTGCAGTGAAGCGAAATATCGTGGCCTTGTCTTGGGTATTTTTTTTTCAAACTACGCAGTGCGCGCTGCCGTGCATGGTCATAATACGAAATGGGGTGCGCCAGCTGCTAGCCATCCAAGCAAAGAGACAAAGGACGGGGCAATGGCGAGCACAGATGAAAGAGCATTCAGATCAAGCAAGACTGCGGCTGTTCGGTGGCAGCCTGAGCAGCTTGTGCAAAGCCTGATGCTCGAGTTTACGAAGCATAGCAAGGATGGGGAACACTTGGGCGAGGTATGAGAGGTTCGAGAGAGCGGTGGTGTTATACCGAATTTTTGAAAGAACAGACGGGCCAGCTCCAGAGCATGACTGGGCTATCGTCCTCGACCACCACTTCTCCGCTGCATTGGCCCATCTCATGCTAAGTGTGGCTGCAGGGCCCATTTCGGCCCCTAAGTGGACTGCGTGGCCAACGACCGTAAAGTTGGCCCACTGCGGGATCCACCTATCAAGCTCTTTTCGGACCCTGTCCTGGACAGCTTCCGTGCACTCAGTCCGCAGTGGGAGCCTGAGACAAGCAAAAAAAAACGCTCAACTTCCAAAAAACACGGGAGACACCAGAGACACCAACCAGGTCTCGAAGGCGAGGCATCACCATTCCTACATCGTTAGCACATACCCCAAGAGAGCCCTTGTGGCGCCTCGCCGACGGGAGCTGCGCGGCCGCGCGCAGGCATCTCAGGATGGGATCCATTGCAAGAGCCCAGAGAGAGCCAGATAAAGGGCACCCTTGCAGGGCCCCCGAGCAGAGATGGAACAGGAAAACGATTCGATTTTGAATTTTAGCAAAGCCTCGTGGTAAAAAGTATACCGCGCGGATGAAGTTCCGGAAACCTGGCGGGAGCCCAATCCTATTCATAATCTCGCACAACCACTGGTGGCCCACAGATTGGAACGCCGCCTCCAACGTAGGCAGCGAAGATCGGGAGGTCCTCCTCAGCTTCGGGGGAGATGCTGGCTTTGCGGGCCTCGGCGTCCAACGTGATGATGTTAGACGTGAAATGACGTCCTGGGATGAATCCTTGTTGAGCCTCATGGGTACGCTCTTGGGCAACCTGACGAATCTGGAAGTAGGTGGCGGATGCCCTGATCTGAGCGTCCGTGTTCCTTAGGCTAAGCGGCCGAACCTTCCCCGGGGACCGCGCGCACCCCTGGGCATCTTCGGGTTCCGAGCCTGTGGGAAGAAAAGCGAAGAGGCGATCGTTGAGCTCCAGGGGCACCGGGCGTCCGATGTACAGATACGTCATAAGTTTATGCAAGACAGCAAGCTGCTCGGGCCTAGCTTTCCACGCCGCGTTTGAAAGTCTAGCAGGGCCGGGGGCTGACCGCCGGGCAAGTTTGAGGGCGCGTCCTAGTTCGGGTTCGGTTAAAGGTCTGGCTGAGGGGCAACCTTGTCGAGGCACCCCTGAAGGGCCTTCTCCTGAACTGCTTTGGCGCCGAAGATGGGTTTCCAATGGGAAGTCAGTGCGGAAGCGATCTGCTCAGGATCCCTGGCCACAGCTGGGGGCTCCCCCAGGCTTTCGGATCGGGCCCCCGCGAGAACGAGACGATGAGCTTTGGGGGCCCAGGAAGTAGCGCGCCTCCTGCGCATCCTTGCAGCTCGTCTCATCCTCGACCACCGCCCCCTCCCCTTTGGACGCCCTGCTTTCAGCAAGTCTGGTCTCCATCTGCCCGAACTCGTAGTTGGCGGCATGCGCAGCGAGGGCGAACTCCTGTCTGTCGAAGAGGTCGACGGCGCGGTTGGACACGTGAAGGAGGCGCGCGCCGTCGGCGGTGGTGGCCTTCAGCTCCAGGGCCGCTTGGATGTCGCTGCGCCAGGTACACCTTGCTATTGCTCTCAGAGTGGTGATGCGACCCCCCTTGGCACGGGGGTCTTTGGCCGAGATCGGAAGTCGCTGAAGTTCGCCGCGAACCTGGCGAGCAGCCTCCGTCATGAGGTCTGTCATGCATCGCCAGTGGTATTCAACTGGAATCCGATCAAGTTGAGTCGCTTCGAGAGGTTGCCCCAATATCTCTCCGTAGCGTGGATCGCAAAATGCTTGCTCAGGAATGCTGGCCTGTTGGCCATGCTGGGCTCGGTCGCGAAGGTGAAGAACGATCGGCGTGTGGTCACTGAGCCTGGAATCAGAGATGGCGGCCGCGTCAATGTCAACCTCCGCCAAGACTTCGACATCTAGGAGAAAGTGTGCTGGAGTTCGAACAAAGACACGATCCAATGTGGCTGCGGTAGCCGTGTTTCGGCAATAGCGCGCGGGGCAATCAGTCGAAATGTCAGTGAGCATGGAGAAAAGACGTTCCAAGTATGCATGCAGGGGTTGGGATCCGCAGGACGGGGGCCAGGGGCGAAGCCTTCCGAGATGGGGCCGACGTAGCTGCGAGTCGGCCCCGGCTTGATGTTGAAGTCACCAGCGGCCAGGAATGCTCTCATGGCGGGGTCTTGAAGGCTCCAACCGACAAGCCCCCTCCGCTTAGCCCGTAGCTGGTCCTGCGCTCGGTTATCCAGCGCAAAGTTAGGAACGTCCATGAGATCAATGGTGAAGTTGCCCTTGTCATTAGTGCTGGTGAGAAGAGCGACCCTTCCGGTAGCTAAGATCTGATGTTGAAACCGAAAGCGTGGGTCATTCTGGCCTCTGACATTCGCTGGGGCCAGGGATGTAGTGCCGCCGGCCTTCTGTGAGAGAGGGTTGAAAAGATGTTGCACGGGTGCGGGTAGGTCGCTAGTGCGGCGGTCAGCTTGTCGAGTGCCCCATCTGCTTTCTTGAATGAGAATCGCCGCTCTCTTCCGCATGAACGGGGCAAGTCTGTTGAGCTTGGCTTTGCGTCGACGGGGTACAGCAAGCTTCTGGCATTCCAGGATTTGATCGTACCATTGCGCCGTTCCTGAACAGAAGTCCACGGTGACTATCGTCTGCTAGATAGAGCACGTAGACGTATCCACGCTAGCGAAGGCCTGTCCAAATGCAGCCACCAATGGTTGCTTGTCAACCTTGAAGCGGGCGAGGATGGGCACACCCCAGCGTAATTTGGATGAATCCTCTGGCCCATGAACTTCGACCACCACGAGCGGCACTGCATCGTAAGTGATGATGCCCTTGGCCCGCTGCGATCCGACGCTGTGATACGCGAGTGCGTCCTGCATGATGCGCTGGAGGCTTTCTGTTTGAAGCTCCAGCCTTATCTGCTTAGCGTTCTTGTCGACGCTGACGTATACCGGAGTATTGACACGCCCTGTGTCGAAGCCGCTGAATGCGCGGAAGCCAGCTGATGTCTTGAGTGCTCTAGAGAATGCGAAGGCTCGAGCAGGGGTAGCTGCGCCGCCTTGAACTTGCAAGTGAAAACGTCGTTGAGGCACGTCACAATGAAGAATGAGTCGATCAACGGGAGCACCAGAAGCATGTACCCGGTTCAGCCAGCGCCGTTTTGATAGCCGCTGGCGCCATTGCTCTCAGGGCTTCGGTACTGAAAACTGTAGGATCTGGGACCCGGTCCCATGTCGCAAGCTCCGAAACGTCAAAGGGGACAGCCGCTTCTGCCATAACCAACGTTTGTTCCATCGGCTGAATTTGCTGTCGCATTCGATGTTGATATGACTCCGCTTTGTCTGCTCGACATTGTGGTTCATGTATATTT